TAAGAAAAGATGGGTTTGCCTAGATGGGAAAATGTTTTTTTGGTATCGATTTAGTTGTTTTCAGCCTATGCTGTCTTGTGTCCACAGACGAAAGCCGGAATTGTATTGTTTGCTGTCTTGTCTTGCGTTAGCTAATGTGCTTGGAAGAGCTATAAATCTGCTTGGAAAACGCTGTTCCCCTATAAGGTGTGGGTTCACGCTTCGGTATTTTGGATTGATTAAATTGCTTCCGCTAGTCCACACCCACTTTGCATTGTTTCACATCTGGATGAGCCTGGCGGGGGGTTCCCCCTTTATGATTCCAGCTCGTGGTAGGGTCGTCTATTGCAGTGGCCACTCCTAAAAGTAAAGAAGGAAACCCGTTTCCTTGCCCAACCCAGCCAACCCCATACCAGTCTGCACCTAGGAGCTTGAAGAATATATGATCCACAACATTGACTCCCAAATAAAGTGGGGGCCGCCTTTGGTATCTCATTGATTGAAAACAACCATGCTCCAGAACTTGCGATGATCCTGAAAAACCCAGGCCTGCGACAGCCCAATAGAGCCACAGGTCCTGAACCAAAGCCACAAGACTGCCCCATAGCCTGCGGGTGCTTTGAGAAGTAGGAGCCCTGAGGCCTTGCACTCCACTGAAGGTACTGCTGGCAGGAACAGCTTCAGAGTCCCTGATTGGGCCAGACACATTATTTAAGCCAGACAGAGACATAGGCAGTTGGCAAGTACCCCGGGTGAATTCCAGTTTGGCTGTTACGTTCCTCCCTGGCTTGTACCTGGTTCCGGTTTTCCCCATCCGCTCCTTGGTTCTTGCCTGCCTCATTCCTGACCCCTCCCTCTGGTCTTTGACTCCAGCTTTGACCCTAGCTCCTGTTCTGACCAACCAAGCCACAGTTGTGACAAAGGCACCATCCTTTGGGGGTCACAGTTTGATCAGTGCCGCATGAGGTAAGTTGCCCAAATGAGGTGATGGAGACATTTCACAACGCATAAACTTTATAAAGTCATGCATGTGGGAGGAAAATTAGAGTAATTTTCCATGAGACTTGGTTGTATTCCACAGCAAAATTGATTTAAACCAGTCACTGCACGTCTATTTTGTATAGCACGTTGTACGGATCATCACCAGATAGGATAAATGAGAACGGGAGGGAAAAGACAGGCCATTGGCAGGCCCATTGCGAGGTAATGCAGGCTTCTCAGGGCCATCCTGTCACAGGGTGTGCGGGAGTCAGGGCCCTGCACCCCTCACTTTCTGTGATTCACTGTGACTCTCATCCAGCCAGTAACACAGAAGGTTTATTAGATCTAGGAACACAGTCCAAAACAGAGCTTGTGGGTACAGAAAACAGGACCCCTCAGTCAGGTCCATCTTGTGTGGTAGGGAGCCCAGACCCCGGTTCTGGGCCTCCCTCCGTTTCCCCAGCCAGCTCCAAACTGAGACTTCTTCTGGCCTTTGTCTCTTTTCCCAGGCCAGGAGGCCACCTGATTGCTTTGTTCTCCAACACCTTCAGTTGGCACCTTGCAGGGGAGGGCCCCAGGCCATCAGTTGCCAGGAGACAGGGTGTCGGCATCACACCTGTCCTCTAGGGCTCTGCAACAATCACACGCCCTTATCCCCCCACCTAGAGCCTTAAGAAATGCATAGGGGAAACTGAGGCACCCACACAGTATTCAGATTAAACATTAAGAACATTCCCACTTTGTCACACACCCATATATGTGTGGGGTTTTCCTTCCATTCTTACATCAGCTTGGGGGGTGGCGGGAGCATCCCGGTGAATAGCAGGGCTGTGTATCTTCCCAGTTTTCCCATTGCCTTTTTGAACCAGACCCTTCTCTGCCTCTTGGGGAAATCCCCCAGTGTGACACCCTCCCACGTAAGGACCGCCTGCCGAGGGGCACATGCAGGAACTAACTTGCCACGTAGGCACCACTGTTGTAATAATTGGGGCCTTTCCGGGAAACGCTCGCTGAGCTCATGGGTCTGGCCAGGAAGAACCTAACCAGGGCCCCAGGGAGGCAGAAGATCTGGTACCACCGCTCAGCCTATGGCACCGGGGACCAGGTGAGGGGTCTCATCCCAGTGAGGAAGAATAAGGTACAGACTGCCTGGGACAGGCCCTTCAAGGTCATCCAGCAGTGAACGAGGAGAACGACGTGGTGGAACTGCCCCACTGGGCTCACAGCCACGGAGAGGACCAGGTCAACATGATGGAACCGTATTGTGACAGGGAGAGGCTCGTACCGTCCGTGTGTGGCCAGTGAGAGAAGAGGGAAGATCCCCTGGTGGGCCTCTTCCCTGAGAGTGGAGCCAGCCCCTCGCTGGAATCAATTCCCCTCTCTGACCAGCTACCCCGGCCCAGCAGGGAGAGATCAGAGAGGTGATGCATTTGTACCAACAGCTGTTTTTCCAACCGGCCTGGGCTCACAAACTGAGCTGTCCACTGGGTGGAGATGGGAGCCGGCCTTCCCATCAGGTGTTCCCCATTCAGAGTAACTGGGAACACAGCCCAGGCCCTGGAGGGAGAGGTCAGAGACATGCTGGCTTCAGGGGTGATCCAGCCATCCACCAGCCCCAGGGCCTCTCCCATGGTGCTGGTCGCCAGGAAAGATGAGTTGATCCGAATCTGTGTGGACTATCGGAAGCTCAATGCCATCACCATGTCTGGTGCCTGCCCCATGCCTAGGACTGATGAGATCCTAGACATGTTGCGGGGGACTCGGTACCCCATGACCAGAGATTTCACCAAAGGCTCCTGGCAGGTGCCTTTGGATCCAGATGCCAGGTTGAAACCTGCTTTTGTCCCCCTGTGGGGCTGTACAAATCCCTGGTCCTACCTTTCAGACTCAAGGAGGCACCGGTCACCTGCCAGCGCCTGGTGGATCAGTTACTGAGGGGGATGGAGAATTTTACCCTAGTGTACATTGATGATATTTGAGCCATTAGCCGGACCTGGGAGGACCATGTGTCCCAGGTGAAGAGGGGGCTGAGTCACCTCCAGGATGCAGGACTGACTGTAAAAGCTGGGAAATGCAAGATGGGGATGGCAGAGGTGTCATACCTGGGCCACAAGATGAGGAGCAACTGCCTAAAGCCAGCCAAGGTGGGGGCGATCAGAGACTGGCCTGCTCCCCAGACTAAGAAATAGGCCCAGGCCTTCATTGGGACGACAGGTCACTACTGGAGGTTTATGCCCCACTTCAGCTCCATGTCAGCTCCCATCACTGAGCTATGCAGGAAGGGGAAGCCAGACAAGTCGGTCTGGACCGGGCAGTGCCAGAGGGCTCGCTGCACGCTGAAGGAGGATCGGGTCAAGGGCCTGGTGCTGGGAAACCCAGACTCTGACAAGCCCTTTATGGTGTTCACCGATGCCTCAGACACAGGGCTGGGCATGGTCCCAATGCAAAGGGGGAGAAACAACCCATCATGTACCTGAGCAGGAAGCTGCTGCCCCGGGAGCAGAGCTATGCGGCCATAGAGAAGGGATGCCTGGCTCTGGGGTGGGCTCTTAAAAGGCTGCGGACGGATGTATTTGGGCGGCGCTCCACTGTGCACACCGACCACTTGCCTGCCGTGGCTGCACCAGATGCAAGGGGCCAATGCCAAGCTCCTGAGGTGGACGCTGTCCCTCCAGGAGTATGAGATGGAGGAGGTCCATGTTGAGGGGAGGGCAAATGTTCTAGCTGACACTTTGTCCCAGAGAGGGGGGCCCTGAACTCCCCCAGGCCACTGGCTAACGTGACCCTGCTCCGTTCGGTCTCAAAGGGAGGAGAGATGTGACGAAGTGGGGATTTTCCCTTGTTATGCTGTGTGAGAGTCTTACTGGTTGAACCTATGTGAGTTTTTCTGTTTTGCATGAACACTGTGTGTACCTCAGTTTCCCTGTGTGCTACACCAATACCTCGGTGGTGGGAACAGGGGTGTGTGAATTTGGCTGAGACCTCTGGGGCAGGTGAGGCTGCTCCAGATGCCTGCACATAGGCTCTGACCAGTGCCCTTTGTAACCTGAGACCCAGGAGGGGGATGCGACCAGGTGACTCTTTGACCTGGAAGCTAGACAAAGACAAGAAGGAGCAACGGGGGTGTCTGAGGTCAGGTCTCTGGAAGCTGGCAGTCTGCTTGTGGGGACAGGAAGAGGGGGAGTCCAGGCTGCCTGGCCCAGGATTCCCCAAGATGGACTTGGCTGAAAGTCACTGATTTCTGTGATAGCAAGCTCTGTTCTACGCTGTGATCCTGTCAACTAATAAACCTTCTGTTTTACCAGCTAGTTGAGAGTCACATCTAACTGCAGAGTTGGGGGGCAGGGCCCTCTGGCTTCCCCAGGAGCCCCACCCAAGCGGACTCACTGCGGGAGGCGCACGGGGATGCTGAATGCTCTGGGGTCAGACCCAGGAAGGTCAAAGTTGTGTACGCTTCTTGCCCCGGAGACCGTCTGCTCAGAGAGAGGAGACTCCCCCAGAGCCCTGGCTGGCTTTTTAGTTCCAGAGCATCGCCCTGATGACTCCGTGACACACAGGCTCCAGTGATCCCCTCAGTACTAGTGAGAAATAACCCCCCTCTCCCCTTGCTTAATTTGTAATAAAACAGGTGCTGGGGATCAAGCAATTTTTTTACATTAATAACTGAGGCAGCAAGCCTAGAGGTGCCAGGGCTGGGAACTGCCAACCGTATCCCCAGCAAGGCGTGACACAAATTAAGCACTACCCCCCAGAGTTTGGAAACAAGAGCATCGCATCCCATCCCAAGCAGTTAACAGTATCTTCCTGCACATGATCTAAAATTAGCCCCCAAGCGCCAAAATTCCCTCTGATGCATTTAAAGTCGAAGGCTGGCTCAGGATTGGCTGAGGGTGCGATGCGCTGTGTCTCATTGGTGGGAGCGGAAGGAGCTGGAGAAGGGGGCGGGAGAGGGCGTTCCCGCCGGCTTCCCTCGCAGTTCTCCCTCTGGTCGGATCACAGCCTAGTTAAGCTCTTGCTGACAGTCATCGGGCACATTCGGTTTTGTGTTGCTCAGAGGTGCCATTGAAATGTCTGGTCGCGGCAAGGGTGGAAAGGGGCTGGGGAAAGGAGGCGCCAAAAGGCACCGTAAGGTTTTAAGAGACAACATCCAGGGCATTACCAAGCCTGCGATCCGTCGTCTGGCTCGCCGTGGTGGGGTAAAGCGCATCTCGGGGCTGATCTACGAAGAGACCCGCGGGGTACTGAAAGTTTTCCTGGAGAACGTGATCCGCGATGCGGTGACCTACACAGAGCACGCCAAGCGCAAGACGGTAACAGCCATGGATGTGGTATACGCCTTGAAACGCCAGGGGCGCACCCTGTACGGCTTCGGGGGTTAAATCTCTAGCCCAGAAACCGGCCCAACTATTGTAACCCAAAGGTCCTTTTAAGGGCCACCCACTTCTGCCCAGAAAGAGCTGGTTTTGCTAGGCATAAACTCTAGGTATTTGCGTTAAAAATTGTAGTTTGCTAGTTTTTGCAAATAATTCTGTGTTACAGTTGTTTGACGTTGTATTAAGGAGGTAGTTGCCCGTGTTCTTTTGAGTCTCGGAGCCACTCTGCTTTTAGGTTTCCATCGTTTAAATGTTTTTGAATTTGTTTAAATATAAACCAGTTCATCTATACTCTGAATCCATATAACTGTGATGGGTTACAGAGGAGTAGCCCTGTTAGTCTATATCAGCAAAAACAATGAGGATTGCTTGTGGCAATCGTATGGTCTACTATTCAGAACAAGGAATTTCAATCCATTTCTGAAGCTCTTCTGCTCTATCGTTCTTTTCTTGAGATAATGTAACAGCGATTTCCTTGTCGCTGAATAGGTGGAATGCTGTAGGGGTGTAATAGCTTTTAAATGCTCTATCTTTTGATTTTTTTCTGTAGAAACTGTTAGAAGACTGTGATTGTGATGTGAAATCCTTGTGCTGCTAACACTGGCTGGATTGTTGGATTTGTGACTTTTATTTGGAGATAAATATTTTCCTTCTCCGCTGTCCCTTTGAAACATTTTGACGTTAGTTTGTAAACAAGCAGTTTCCTTGAATTCAGCAGGAAACTGCATTTGGGTGACTGGGGAAATCTATTTTCATAGTAACCTGATGGTGACCGTAAACTGAAATACTTTTCCTTAAAGAGTGGTCCCTTGCAAGTCTCTGGGTAAGAGTCAGGATGGGAGAATTGAATGGAGAGCTTTGTTCTGCCCATTGCAATTGTCTTGTTCCCAGCTTGTCCAAGACTGCAACTTGCTGGGATCCTGTAAGTGTATCTCTGGTTTGTGACTAAGCAAAAGAACAGATGTCTAATGTAGCCTGTAAGTGAGACCGGGTTAGTTCCTCTGCACCTGTTTAACAGCACTTTTTTGTGCCAAATAAAGTTATTGAAAATTCAGATTTTAAGTTGTCAGACATCCCACTGCCAAAACAGACCGATATCCAGGCTGCATTGCCCTTGAGGCAAGATGGACCCCATGTGATTTCTTTAGCTAAAGAACCTCCTGTCAACCCGGTACCCAATTTGATAAGACTGTTTCACCCATTCCGTATCATCGCTATCTACATGCAGTGGTGATAGGGCACTTGTTTGTTTTATAAACATGCCTAAGTTTGGCTTATCTGAGGGCTCATAGGTTCTCTCCCCCCCATGCCGTCTAGCATTAGCAATAGCTGAGCTGTTCTTTCCCAGTAAGGCAGTATCATGCACAGAAGAGAAATCATCCTAAATTTTCCTTACCTGCTTGACCACTCCGTGGACACTCAACAACAGACTTAAGTGGCCATTCTTCAATTAGAAAACTTCAAAACCAGACTTCCATGAGAAACTGCTGAACTGGACTTAATTTGCAAATGTGACACCATCAAATTAGGCCTGAATAAAGACTGGCAGTGGCTGGGTCACTACAAAAAGTAATTTGACCCTTTGCTGATACTCACCCCTTCTTGTCAAGTGTTGGAAATGGCCGACGTCCACTTTGATTGCATTGCCGTCCTTAACACTCCCAAGGTAATTTCCCCTCTCTTGATATTCATCTCTTGAGAATAGGCCACTTCCATCTTAATTGAACTGGCCTCATTAGCACTGACCCCCTTGGTAAGGCGACTCCCATCTTTTCATGTGCTAGAACAGTGGGTCTCAAACTTTGGTACTGGTGCCCCCTTTCACATAGCTAGCCTCTGTGACCCCCTTTATAAATTAAAAATCCCTTTAAAATATATTTAACACCATTACAAATGCTGGAGGCAAAATGGGGCTTGGGGTGGATGCTGACAGCTTGCAACCCCCATGTAATAACCTCATAGCCCCGTTTGAGAACCCTCTGCTAGAATATATGTACTGCATTTTTTAGCCCACAAAAGCTTATGCTCAAATAAATGGGTTAGTCTCTAAGGTAGCACAAGGACTCCTCGCTTTTTCTTTTTGAACAATGTCGTTTATTTTTTAAAGAAACCAGTGTAGCTCTATGTTAAGAATTATTCCTAGTTTATACCCTAGGGCTGTACCATTACTGCCACAGTATCACTAACATTGTACTAGCTTAATTGAAAAGACATGTAACTTAATATCCATACCAGATTTAAGCACAATGTTAATATCCCTGTCACGATACACAAAACCAACTCTTTCTATGCAGGAGTAAGTGGCCCTTAAAAGGACCTTTGGGTTGAATATTTTTTTCGGCTCGGTCCCAGGGGGAATCAGCCCCCGAAACCGTACAGGGTGCGCCCCTGGCGTTTCAGGGCGTAGACCACGTCCATGGCTGTCACCGTCTTGCGCTTGGCGTGCTCGGTGTAGGTCACCGCATCGCGGATCACGTTCTCCAGGAAAACCTTCAACACCCCGCGGGTCTCTTCGTAGATCAGCCCCGAGATGCGCTTCACCCCGCCGCGGCGAGCCAGACGGCGGATCGCAGGCTTGGTAATGCCCTGGATGTTATCCCGCAGGACCTTCCGATGTCTTTTAGCACCGCCTTTTCCTAGACCCTTTCCACCTTTCCCGCGTCCCGACATGGTAACGCTAACAAACCAACACAGTGTAATTCTTCTCGCTGTTGCTTTCACGGCTTAACTAGGCTGTGATCGGACCAGAGGGAGAACTGTGAGGGAAGCCGGCGGCAACTGTTTCTCCCGTCCCTTTCCCAGCCCTACCTGGTGACGCGGCTCGACACCCACCAATCAGACACCGAGTACCGCACCCCAGCCAATTACTAGCCAGCCGTTAACTTTAAATTTGGAGCCCGGACTTATTCCTGAGCATGCGCAGAAAGGAGCCGCAAAACGCGTGGGAATAAACACCCGCCTCCGTCTGAACACGCCGGACAGGGTGAAAGAGATTTTTCGGCCCCGGGCTTGTAGGACCCAGGATCCCCCACCCCCGGTGCAGTATGGGGTGAGGGGAGCTGCTGCACCCCGCTCTGTGGCAATCCGGGTGTTGGAATATTACCTCAACACAGAGGGCGAAACTCTAAGCCAGAGACACTGAGGGAATGTGACATCGTGCTCGAAGTTTTAACGTCCCTCTCCCCAAAATCGGTTCTGCCGCTGTATTGCACGCAAGGCCGGGGCTGCACGTCCCCTTTCTTCTGCGCGCACTCGAGGATTTTTCGCTCCTCTTTCCTTCTGCGTGTAAACGCCCAGAGTTCCGAATTCTTTCTAGTCCCAACACGATGTAAATCAAAATCCTTCCGGGGAAAAAAAAAACTGTTCGCAGAACTAGTTACATCCTTAAGGTTAACATAATCGTTACAGGACCGGGGTAGAAAGCAGTTTTTACCCTCTTCCCCCTAAGTTTGAGAGTTCCCTTATGGCGAGTAAACGACCCCATTGATACACCCCTACAGACCACTTCACTTCTAACCCAACACAGCAGTGCAACAAGCTCTTTCCGTGGACGAGTGGGTGGCCCTTAAAAGAGCCTTTGAATTGAATAAACATGGTTTCTCGCTTTAAAAAACTGAATCAGCCCCCGAAGCCGTACAGGGTGCGCCCCTGGCGTTTCAGGGCGTAGACCACATCCATGGCGGTCACGGTTTTGCGCTTGGCGTGCTCGGTGTAGGTCACCGCATCGCGGATCACGTTCTCCAGGAAAACCTTCAGCACCCCGCGGGTCTCTTCATAGATCAGCCCCGAGATGCGCTTTACCCCGCCGCGGCGAGCCAGACGGCGGATCGCAGGCTTGGTAATACCCTGGATGTTATCCCGCAGGACTTTACGATGTCTCTTAGCACCGCCTTTGCCCAGCCCTTTACCGCCTTTTCCGCGACCGGACATAGCTACACAAGCAATACCAAACAGCCAAGAGAAAATAGTGTAATTTTTACAGCGATGACAAGGATTTATATAGGCTACTGTCCGACCGGAGTGAAAACCGACAGGCAAAAAGGCGGGACACCACATCTCTCTCCGCTCGCTCGCCCCGCCCCAGGTGACGTTGGATCTCTCGCTCACCAATGAGACACTGAGCATCACTCCCTGGCCAATCATTAGCCAGCAGTTAACTTCAAGTGCAGCTTGGGCGTTGCCTCTGTTCTCTACACCTTCACCCACACAATGATCAGAGAGTGGCTATGCAAACAGTGCTCCACTTTGGGATGGGGGCGGGGAAAAGCAGGAGGGAGACTATCTTTCTCACTGACCCAGATCCCTGTAGGGCTGTAGTTCTCAAACGTTTGTACTGGTGACCCCTTTCACGTAGCAAGCCCCTGAGTGCGACCCCCCTAATAAATTAAAAACACTTTATCAATTGTCAATGCTGGAGGCAAAGCAGGGTTTGGGGTGGAGGTGACAGCTCGCGACCCCCCATGTAATAACCTCGCGACCCCCTGATGGGGTCCCCACCCCCAGTTTGAGAACGCCTGCTGTAGGACCTGGGAACCAGCCCTGAATGAAATGAGCCATGTGGACAGCACAGTGGTTCTGGAACGATTTGTATAGTGCAGGGTGCGGAGAGCCATTGCACCAAACTGTAAACCCTGTACGTGATTGTAACCATTTCAAGCCAGAGGAGTGCAGCATCACCCTGAGTACCAGCACCTAGGAAAAGACAAGGCTGCCAAGATTTTTTCAGCAGCTGGGAGCAATGTTTGACTTGCCTCTGAACAATCGGCTGATGCAGTTCTCCCACGGAAAGGGCACAGAAGGGAGTTTGCAGTCAGCCTCCAATTGTGGATTCCTCGCTACCTGTGGTGCTAGACAGCCAGCTGGTGGGGCCGCTAATAGAGGCTTATCACCCTTCTACCCCACTGGGGGATTTTGTTTTGCTTAATGGAATGTTCCTAGAATCATAGGACTGGAAGAGACCTCGAGAGGTCATCTAGTCCAGTCCCCTGCACTCATGTGGGGGCCCCAGTCACAGCACAGGCCCCCCATTGTGCTAGGCATTGTACAAACATAGAGACAGCCCCTGCCACAAGGACCTTACAACATAATATGCAACACTTGTTACATTTTGATAGCAGCCCTTTCCCGCTTGCCCCCATTCTGCCAATCATGCTTTGGAGCAGTGGTTCTCAAAAAGTGGGTCGCGACCCCCTTTCAATGGGGTCACCAGGCTGGCATTAGACTTGCTGGGGTCTGGAGCGGAAGCCAAAGTCCAAGGGCTTCAGCCCTGGGTGGCAGGGCTCAGGTTACAGGCACGGGGCTGAAGAAGCCCTTGGGCTTTAGCCCCTCTGCCTGGGGCAGGTTCAGGCTTCGGTCCCCCCGTCCTGGGGTCATGTGTAATTTTTGTTGTTAGAAGGGGGTCATGGTGCAATGATGTTTGAGAACCGACGTCCTGGAGGAATGCTCCCTAAACATCTGGCCCGCTACCTAATTTTCCTCCTGGAAATCCCTCCTTCAGCTTTTCCTCTGATGCGACGACACCTCCAAAGAAACTCGACATCCCTGAAAAGGGGGAGAGCA